ATACAGCGTCTGTGGTACCCAGTGGCAAAAAGAAAAACGTGGTGGAGGGCACGAAAGATATTTCCTATTGAAATACATTCGATGGAAATTCGTGCTGAGTGACACGAAAAAAGAGGGAAATTCGTGTCCATGAACACGAGTCAATAGATTAAATTTCGTGACTATATCACGAACTGCCGTGAGACTGGGTTGTGACACCATAACAATGTAATAATGTGGGATTTTCTTTTACGGTCTTAACATGCAATTCATGGGCTTCTTTTGTTCTCTGTTGAAATTCTTGTCCATGCTTTTGACAGTATTCAGACTGTGGTCCAAGGCAGAACCTGCAAATGTAAGGACCGGTAAAACTTTCGACAAGTCCACCAAGAGAATGTGCAGCAAGATTGTCAGCTGCAACACAGTAAACAGTTCCTTTAATGTTTTTTCCAGCATTGGGTATGAAAACTCCAGAAAGATCTTTCAGAAGTGGCTCTACAATAGCTTCATAACCAAATCGTTTAACATCCACGGCTTTGCAGAGAATGCTTAAATGTATCGCAGTTAGTGTAGAGCGCACTTCAGCTGGTGCATTTGCGAGAATCCAGTACACTGCTGTGATTTTGTGTTTCTTCCGTGATGTTCCTAGTGGGTTGCAAACTTCAAAATCGTCGATATAAAGAATTAAAGAAATTCTTGGTTCTTCAGAGAAAAATTCATTGTTCTTGAAATGTGTCCCATTTTGATATGATTCATACTGTGTGGATGTGCTGGGTTGTATTTTTTAAAGCAGCATCTGCAAAATCTTTATTGGTCAATATATGCTGTAATGTCTGAAGAATGGGCACATATTGAAAGCTGAGCTTTTCTTGGGCATCAAGGATGTATTCCACAGGCTCTATGATATCAAAATGTTCCTTAAAATATTTTTTTCTCTTAAAAGAAGAACCAAAGGGCCCATTTCCTCCTAGTGCATTGCTTAAAGGATGTGACTTGCACAGTTCCTCCACCAATTCTGCAACTACGTCCTCCTCAACAACACAGCTGTGCTTTTCTAAACTTCTATGAACAACTTGTTGGAAAACGGGAGCAGAAGATTTGCAAATGAAATTAAGCTCTTCCACCAGCTCGTCAATGCATTTACTAGAAACATTGTAAACACTTTCCAACTTTAAAAGAAGTGAACCAATTGTTCTAATAATTTCTTCTGAGGCATCTATTGATTGATTTGGTCCACTGTCTTCACAATTATTATCACTCACGATCAAATCAGTATCATTTTGTAAAGTGTAATGTTTCCCAATTATATCTGGCTTAAAGTCCTCATGTGAATGGGGGTTGTGCTTTCGGCTTTTGTGAGTAAAAATGTCCCATATATATTTGTCTTAAATGCACATCCAATAAACACACACTCTATGGTTTCATGCCTCTTCAAATAATTTCCAAGATGTTGAAAATATTATTTTTCATTGGTAAATATACTAGAGCAAAGCACACACTTAAGAGAGAGGATTACTTCTGGCTTCCTATCTTCATCCTGTGTATTGTACCTTGACAGATGTGTGCGAAGTGCAGTCCACGTTTTAAAGGAGCATGGACAATCCAAATGGAGACACGCCACTGAGGTTCCAGATGACCAATGTTGTAGTCTAATGTCGTACGAGGTCACACCTTGTCGTTGCGTTATACTTTACAGCTTTACAGCTCCATTTCATTGCACCTATTAAAAAGAGACACATGAGTACATTTCACATTTTAACCGTTATCTTCTTTTTAACTTTTTAATTTTACAATTTTTATTTGCATTTCAGGTTTAAAGAATTTAATCATTTTTACTTAACTAGGCTGTAGGGTTGGTTATCGTTTATTATTATTTTTTAAATTAAAATTTCGATTATCTTTATCAATTCTGGTTCTTATCAGTTTTGATTCCAATGTGTTAAAAGTCAAACATTTATATATCATACATATTAATTCTGAGCAATTAGCTGGAGCTGAATATCATTAAAAAATCAGCCATATGCCATATAAAAACTAAGGACTTGCTCAAGAGTGAAAAAACTATTGTTTTAATACACATTTATTGGCTCTAACCAGAAAGTAGAATGTTAATAACTCTGCAAAAAATGTTAATAGAAATGTGGAATGTTAACTCTGTATACCAAAATATCTAACATTTATATCGTTTATGACCGTTTAATCGTAGTTATAGCTCCTAACAGATCCTATCTTCATCCTGTGTATGGTACCTTGACAGATGTGTGCGAAGTGCAGTCCACGTTTTAAAGGAGCATGGACAATCCAAATGGAGACACGCCACTGAGGGATTGAAATGGAGACGTGCATTGGAGTGATGGAGTCATACTCACTGTTCAACAGCAGCATACATAGTTTTAAAATGCCCCCCTTCAGCCATAAATCGGTGTAAACTTGATTTCGGATACTTTATGAGCAACACTCTAGCCTAGTTCGGTTCAAACACACGGAGCCAATACGAGACGGGGATATAACTATAGCCTATAGGCCACACAAATAAGAATTCATTGCCCAAGATATATATATACACGTTTTATATATATATATATATATATATATATATATATGTGTGTGTGTGCATGGACACTGACTACAGCCATTATTAAACAATATTGCCTAAGCTTACATGAAAGGATTAGCAGTTTTATAGCCGACCGTTAACTAGTATGTTTTTAAATGAAGCCTATTAGATAAAGTAGACAATTTGAACAATTTACAACAGGCTTTTTTTTCATTTATAAATTATATAACATTCCTTACCTTTGTGAAATGAACTGAAAAAGAGCTCCAGGTCGTCAGCGAGAAACTCCAGCGCATGCGTGGCGTGCCTCGTGCTCACGAGCTCATTTAAACCGCGCGCTGTAACAGGAAGTGCGTGTAAATTGAAAACAACTCATTTTCATCATGTTGGATTCATTCAATATTCTCTCTGTTTGGAATTATTCAAAAAATAATAGCTAAATCCTTAACAACAAAATTGAGTAGATTTTATTCCAGTCATTTTTAATTAATTTTAATTAAAAAAAAATAAATTAAACTAGAAATTAATTTTGTTAAATAAAGTTTACATATTAAATGTTGTGAAATCTACAAACCCACAGAATGACTTTTTACAGATTTTTAGCTTCGATTATGATTATATCCAGTTTGATTTAAACATGTTTGATATTTTGCACATACTATTTTCATTTGTCATCCATTTCCAGCAATGAAGCATATGTTTCTGTTTGAGTCTCAGTCGTTTAGTGTTGCCCAGTTTCCCTCTGAAACCCTTTACACATGCTGGTAAGTGTATGATGCATAGCGTTTAAAAATCTGTTAGTCACACAGCCACATGCAATCTTCTTAGCCTCTGTTATCACATGAACAAACTGCTGACTGTTTTCCCAACCAAACAAAGCAGCTGTATCAGCCATCTGACATGAGAACAGGTTTAGATCTATTAATCTGGAATTCTTCAGTGCAAAATCAGTTAGATTTGGCAAGTGCTGAAACACATTTTTCCTGGAACACAGATACAAAAATGTGCTTGTCAATGTTATTGTCAGAATGCATGAAGCACTGAGGAACCGAAATAATGTGTTCATCAAACTAACTTCACATTTACATTTAAGCATTCGGAGACTTTTAAGTGAAGCAAGGACAAAAGAAAAATAAGTTTCCCTATCAGTACATTTAAGTAATCCCACATGCATCAAGAATGCGGGAAACGGAATATTCCATAAATAAAAGAACTGCATGTGCTGGACTTCATTTTTTTTCTATCATGTCTTTGCCAGCAAATTTGCATCACATTAAATGGGTTCTGCACGTGATGAAATGCTCTTTATATATATTTTAAAAATGAATAATGTGACACCTATTCATTTTTCTTTGCCGTTAACAATTCAGTAAAAAAGCAGCAATAAACCATTGGAATAAACTTCTAAATGACAAAGCGCATGTTGTGCAACCCATACCATGACATTTAATTGTACAGAATTTGATATATTTCATAATAGATTCAATAAAATCAAAGCACGGACACCTTTGCTTATTGGTGCAGAAATGCACTCTATACTTGTATACAAGTCAATATCATTTACAATTTCCAGCTTGAAGCACACAATAAATACAGCATCCATGCATTACACTAGGAAAACAACTTTATTTCATACTTTACTGAATAGAAAGAATTCATTCAAGTGTGACCTATGCTCTCACATCCTCAGGAATATGACAAATCATTTAACATGCATAGGACAAAAAAACTTTGACTTTTTATCAGTTGTCATCATTACACTGGATTGCACATGTGCATTAATGCAAAGATCAAAGCAACATGATATCCCAGTAATGAAAGCAGCTGATCCACAGTATCAATCAGCATTTTAATTCCACACCAGACTGCAGATAATGCATTTCCACTGATATAGTGAACGCTTTGACAAGCTGGTCACGACCTCTTTTCCCAGCATTGCCCTGGGACAGAAGAACTTAAACTAAATTGTTCTAGTTAGTCTCTATACCTCTAGTTCAGTTTGCCTAATCATTAAACATTAAAAAAGAATGAGCTAAAAGATATTTAATGATTTCCTAATAGTATCCGAAGTCTAGAGTGAAAAACAACTGTGTAGTGCTCAGTCCATCTCGCTGGACTTCAAAAACCTTGAAAGCAAAATCAAGGTTATAAATTATAAAGGAATATATCTGATCATAATATAAGTATCAGAAATTCAAAAACATATGAGAGAATGTTTTTTTTTCTTCAAAAGATTTTAATTATCGACAATGATTTTTAAATAATGGAAGTTTTCTTACACTTTGAGTGAACAGCTAGTTTGTTTGTTTTTCATAGAATTCAAGAAGGTAAGAAGTTTTGCGATGTTTTATTGTCCTTTTACATTTAGGGCTTCAAATGGGTATTGAATCATACAAATACTAAGTTGAATCTCCCCTCTGTACCAAGATAAAATGCCTTCTGCAACCTTCATATTAGTGATGGATTTACACATTCTTCCAAATATAGCATCTTTCTTCATGTAAAGACGTGTCACTGGTTTCTTTGGCTGGAAAAGCAGGGAACACGATGACAGGAGATGTTCATCTTCAGCATATCCGTATTGTAAAGAGAACTGAAGCTTGTCATCTGCCTCAATCAAAATGATTTACTCTGTGAATACAAGACCGAGCACAGATGTAACTGTAACATCAAGTATTTAAACACACAACTTGAATGATTTCTCATATCAGTAGATCAGATCTGAAGAATATGTGCGGAAGGAAGTACAGGTCATCACTGTTAAGCAGAAATAGTTCACAGGAAGAGGCTTATACGCCTACGATTAACTGTCTGTCTCTCTCTCTGCTCGGCCACTTCTCGGTACCTGATGCTCTTCAGGCTCTGCTCATGTAGAACAACACAAACATACACACACACAAAAAAATGATTAATTTACTGCAGCTCATGCACTCATATGATACAATGACACTTTTTCTGTAATGATGTATTGAGTGGCTTTAGGTAAAGCTGAAAAAAAACAATATTTTCTTCTAAATAAGCAGTTTTGTTTTAAAATGACAACATGAAAGAGATAATTTGGTTGCAGTACATTATGAAAGTCAGAGAAAAGGAAAATATATCACATAAAAAAAAACTCTAGACTCATGAATGTATGTCAGGGTCAATTTGACCATTTTATGAAAAAAATTTGAATAGGCCACTTAAGAACAGTGAAGCTGCTTATTTCCTCGGAGCTATTCTCACGGTCTATGAGAACAAGGTTGTTACTTATTATGCTTTCAAAACTGTACCTCCTTTTTAGAGCACAAGTTGGAAAATTAAATGAACTGGTGTGAATGTTTCATGACAGCTGCCTGAGAGAGCTAAGCTGTCAAACTTTGCGTGTTGAGGCTCAAATGGGTTATCTTGATGATGACAGAAATGTGTCTCCCTTTAAATATTTTTGTGATTTTAATGTGACATTTTTCTTGGCTGTTCTGGATTGTTCTCGTTAATCTTTTGGATTGCTTTCTAAATACTCACCATCTTTACGGAGGACACACTTCCACAAACAGAAACAGAGGCAGAGGACTAGAAGAAATGCTACAGTAGTCACAGAGATCAGGATAGCGAGTGCAGTGCCAACTGGTGAGAGAAACAGAAGAAAACCATAGATTGGAACACTAATATTAGAGCATCTGTTAGCTTTTCACTTTTGAATGTCTTCTGAATGTTTGACCATTGGATGTTTATTCAACTTGGGGCACTGTTGATGTTATGATTTTTATAAACATAAAAAAAATATTCATGTTATATGGAGGTGTTGGGGTCATATAAATAATTGAATCATATTTGTACCATGCTTGCATCATTTATTTTTGACATTTTTTGAACACCTTTGTTCATTTTGATTTCAGTTTAGTTATTTTAGTCAGGTTAAACTAAATTAAAATGAGAAATGGGAATTTTACTTTATTTAATTTAAAGTTATGTTATTTTAAGTAATGAGATTTTTTTTTTATTTATGGTTTCAGATTTAGTTTCAGGTAACTATAATAACCCTGGTCCCAAACTCAACCAATTTTTAAATATGTAAATATGAAGAAGACTTTTACTACATTGTAAAAATTAAAAAATATATAAATAAAAGTATTTACTAACAGAATTCTAAACAAGAAAATACACTGTATTGTGCATGATTTCCAATCAATTTAGTCAAATTGTAAAAGTATTAAAATAGTATTTACTAGTTATGTGTATTTAATATACAGTGCGTGCTAACTATGACATTAGCCTTAACAAGACAAAGTCTGCCAGTTTATTCAAAAAACACTGATGATTTTGAGATAGTGGAAAATGACTCCATTCTCCAGTGATTCATGCTTGTCTACTGGACAAATAAACTAGCATGTGAAGAAAGTGTGAAAAGTTCACCCTCCAACTGGGTTTATTTTCTAAGATTCCACTGGGCCAAAGTGGCCCATAGTTGAAGAAACACTGTTACTGCTATGGCAACAATTTCTCTAGATACAAATAGAGATAAGGACAAGTATCTCTATTTGTAAACAGGGAACATTTGTACAAGTAACTCTACATTACATACAGAGACAAACAAAAACCAAGGAAATGTATTTAATGCATTTAAACACTGCTATATAATAATGCTGCATGCTATGACAGGCCTTTATCAGGCCGCACAGCGCTTTGTGATCACAATCGCTCTGCTCCCTTTCCATCCTTTACAAAAACTATATTTGGCTTTAAAGATTAGTTTTCCTGAGCGTCGGTCTGCATTCTGTTAGAGAATGTAGAGATGAACATAGAGCGAGGGCCAGGAAAAACATTGAATGATGAACCCAAAATCCTGACATACCAGAGCTGCGCTGCATGTCACGCTGTAAACCACAGTTCATATAATACTGAAATTACAACCATACAAGAATTAGACATGCAATGAGAGAAGTCTGAGAAATAGACGGTGCCAGGATTTATCCAAATTTCATATTTTACTGTAACTTGGTTTGGTTTTACCGAGCATCTCAGTGATAATTACTGTGTGACAAATAATATCACACCTAGGACAAGAAGATCACATTTCCTACATTTTGTTAAATCATTATAATTTTCTCCCTTTGGTCCACTTGTAATGTTAGTAAAGGTAATTTTTCAATCTCTCTGATAATTCAGATCAAACATGCTTCTTGCTGTGCCTTTAAGACTCTCGATAATTGACCTTGTCAGTTCTCATTCTGGTGTCAGAAAAAAAAAAATTAGTTTAAAAATAGTGTTGGGGAAAGTTACTTCTAAAAGTAATACATTGAAATTTTGTGTTACCTCATCTAACTGCGTTACTTAGTTAATATTTATGGAAAGTAATGCATTACGTTGCTCTAGCGTTACTTTTTATCACATGGGCTTGGCTTGCTTATTTGTTTTGTTTTTTAATAATAAAAAGCCAAAAGTTATTTTTTACAACTATAAAGGTCCATTCACAGCAAAAGTTAAATTAATAAGCCTCAGGCTGAAGGAAGTACCTCTGCACCTCACTACAAATTTCTCTCAACATGGGGACAGGAGAGGTGTCAGTGAAGAAATGGATAACTGGCGTTACACTTATTTGAAAAGTAACTGATATTTCACTGTAAATGTAAAAGTAACGTGTTACTTTACTAGTTACTTGGAAAAAAAGTAATCTGATTACATGTAACGTGTTACCCCCAACACTGTTCAAACTTGTATTACCTACTTTAGAACAAGCCATTGGTTTCACAGGATGGTATTTTTTAAAGCTACAGTAGGTTTTCACAATGCACAATGAATCCATTTACCTCAAACCAATCAAGGAAAAATTACATAATTTTATTCAATATAAACCTTCATAATCAAAGTGCATAATAAAATAGTTCACACTTACTTTTAGTGTTCATGGAAACAGCAATGGCAGTCTCCAGTCCTTTATGATGAACGAGACATTTGACAGAGACATCCTTCAGGAGTCCAGCCTGGATGGTCAAGGTGCTGATGACCAGAGTCGTCCCGTCACTCTGCTGGATAGAGGTGGTCACAGGTGGACCAATGGTCCGGTTATTCCCCTCCACGTTCCACACTATTTCAGCCTGTGGCCGGGCCACGGCAGTACAGTTAGCCTCGATCACTCCCGGAGACGTGGTCTTGTAGCTTACTTGAGGTTTGGGCAGGACTGTAAATGATACAGTATATAGGTTGTTTGGTTGTGGAACATTTTATTTAGTCAGAAAACACAGCTACACGTGAATGTCCATCAGTGGAGGCAGATGATTTGGCCAGAGTGTCAGGGTCATAACTAAGATAGACAATAATTAGAAAGGGCCCCCAGTATTTGCTCATCTTAATGCTGCTTTGTTTGCTGTAGAATGACAAAAAGTTTTAAAACTTACATTTTTAGGCTTGTCTGCCTCAGCAGCCTAAAAGTGATCATCAACGTCAAAATGATTGAGACCAATCAAATCAAAAAAGGTGGGATTTACTGTTCACAGAAGTCAAGCATGAATGCTGCCCTTCAGTTGAAAGGATTGAATAAGTGTGAGATAAGACTTAAGAGGCTAAACATTTAATATTCGACAACTGTTTTATAGTAGAAATGTTAAAAGACCAACAGTAATATTCAGTCATACTCAACTTTATTGTCAAATTTGGCTGTTTTGAATTGCATGATTCATGTCATTCATAACTGAATGTGATGAGACAAGAAACATTTTGCCGTTTCATGTTTTTGACATATTAGGCATACGAATAAGAGTGAATGTGTGCATATTTTAAAATAAAAATGTTATTTGCAAAGTGATTACATTTTATGGTCCTCTTCTTTTTTCATTACTTTATTCCATTAAATCCATTTAAATCCTTTAATTATTATTTAATTCCTTTAGATACAAATTATAACTCCCCTCCCTGTCCCCCTCAGCCCCTGATGTTAAAAACATGGCCCTGACAGCATTTACCAGCAAGGGCCATTGATTGGAGCCATGCTAACCAGCCAAACTTTGACCTCTTGATCCCAACACATAATCATGCATTGACTCTGAATGATATCCACTTGTGTTGGCTTGAAAAGCAAGAGTTGGCTTTGTAAATCAACAGATCTGCATGCCATCTCTGAGTGTTTGCAGCCCACATATTTTCGTCAGTAGTTCAAAGCTACAGAGATGCCCATTCAAACCACAGCATTGGCCCAAAAAAGAGGTATACACTTGGCATTCCAACAGAGGACAAGCATTTCACATTCTTACAAAACCATGACCCCTACAGAACAATTCAAGATTGCTATGAATAACAGATGAGCGAATATGATTAAACAAAATGCAGACCTAAAAAATTTTGGTTTTGGACCCCACTGACCTCCTTGTATAAACAAATCAATCAAAATATAGTGATACAGGTTTGGAATGACATGAGGCTGGGCAAATAATAACAAAATTTTCATTTTGAGGTAAACTATCCCTTTAAGTATCCGTTAGTGGCTGCATCCTAGTTTGGGCAAATGCAACAGTACAGAACAACGTGGCACGAAGTGAACATCATTCTGAGAGAGTCAAGGCAGGAGAACGAGAGCAGCACATAGAGAGAGGCACTGTGTTAGTGGAACAGTGACACAGTCATTCACTTTGGCCACAGTCTGAATAAATCATAGATCTCACAGTCTCACCCTCCTACAATCAGTTTCTTTCATATCACTCTCTCTCTCTCTGTCTGTTGTCCTCATTTTCTCCAGGCCTGTGTGTGTGTTTAGCCATGTCCTGCCCTCTCTACCACTCTGTGCTACAGCCCTACCAGCTGCATACACTGAACTGGATTTACGTTTCACTCTAGAGTCTAAAAATCAGCAATCACTATATAAAAATATCAGCAAGGTCTGTCTTGACCATTAGAGTGGGGACTGTTTTATGGGATGGGTTTTAATGGTTTAATGATTTATTTTGATAGTCTACTTGAGACATTCGGACACATCGCTTTATTTTATAGTATGTGTACTTATATGTATATACTCTGTAAGAAAGTACTGGATAATACAAGGTAACTACATGGTTTAAGGTTAGGTTTAGGGGTAGGTTCAGGGTTATTAGCCAGTTATTGTAATCAATTACTATAATAACAAGTACATAGTATGTACATGCGGAACCAACATTCTACTAACTTTAAGTAACTTTGCAACTACATGTCAACTAACTTTCATTAGCATATCAGTAGACTGTTAGGTTAGGTTTAGGGTTAGGGTTGGTAGAATAAGTTGATATATTTTTGCAAACTTAGTCGGTTAAACGTCTGTTGGGGACCATCAACATAAAGTGTTAGCCGATAAAAGTATGAACAGTATTAAGTGATGCTTTCTTGATCAAACGCCTCTAAAAGTCATTTTATGTCTTGAATTGCATGCATTAGAAGTATATGCACGTTTTGACACACTGTCTGTTCTTTTGTGTTTGTGACACACTTTCCTGTCAGACTGTCCTACACCAAACGTCTCAGTCCTGTTTCCTGAAGTAAAGCATTAGAAAACGGAGAGCGACCTATTGAAACTGTGGCTCGATTAATGATGTACAGCTTTTCATTTGCCCAGGACTGTGGACAAGTCTTTTGTGGGTGATGTGACCAATCAGACGCGAGGAGAATTAAGCTTTGGTTTCGGCAATGATGCAGAAATTGTTATTTTGATTTGTGCTATAACTAATTTCAAAATCAAATCGTCCCTGTATGTTCATGAAAGAAAGAAAACAAGCAACTGTCATCCAAATCACAATAAACCTCCCCCAACTCCCTCAAGTGTTCAAGCGCCACAATCCAGTGCTATGTACATAAAGAGAGGCAGTAAGTCTCATGTGTACGAAGCGTGTTTGCTTGCCATGTACAGTATCAGCAGCGCACAGCCATGTTGCTTCACTTCCCCCTATTTAAATGTAGGTGTAAGACAGAAGTAATATATTCACGTCCATAGAGAGAAGGGAAAAAACAAGTCAGATGGGCAATTTGAGGTGTCTGCCTGAAAGCATGAAGCAATTTATCCTGGATTGGATGGATCTTTTTTTGTGTTATGATAATATCCACATAATTTATTCCTGAGGATCGGCTCTTCTTTAAAGCCGTCTGACTGACAGACGCAAGGATGCCCGTGTAGCGAATTTAGCTCATGGGGAAATATGAATAATTAACCATAACTAGTTATAATTAACTATTCATATTTTAGATCCACTGTAGATATTTAGCTGACCACTCAGGGTCAACTGTCTTGTCAATTCTAAGACGTTAATTTCCTGGTTAAGGGAAATAACTTTCTTACTGTACAATTCTATAAGTTTGTAACGTAAATCTGCATGATTATTGACTCCGGTTATGAGTAAACAATGAACACGTCAAGTGTGATACAAGTAAGGTTTTATTAACTACATAAACACTTAAACTAGTCTAACATACTACATAAACACATTAAGCCGGTCTAACATACACATACACACACACACACATACAGTTGGTATAGGAAAGGGTTAAAGTTTAACTCAGCATAGAAAGAGGCATAAAGAATGGATTTTATGGAACACTTTGCATGTATATTCAACAGATCAAAGCCTTCAGGGATACGTCAGATTCTGAGTTCAAACACACCTTTGTAAAAAGGTGTAACTGATACTTAATGTATCAATTAATAAGACTAAGTTTGATACTTAGCGAGTCTCGGCGGTCTGAAAGAGATTCCTGATGCAAATCTTAAAGCTTCCCGTAGATCTTTGCTGAATTCGGGTCGATGAGAAGAACCAGTTTGAGTCAGTGTTACTTGATGAATGGAAAGGACTAGGCCGAAGAAAGGCCTGGCACAGATGCTTTGTATCCTGAAGCGTTTTTCTCACATCATCTTTGCTTCTGACTGAATCACCGACTGGGGCGGGTCCCTGGAGCCGGGCCTTTAAGGTCGGAGAAGATCTCCGCCTTTCAAGATGGGCTTGTCCAATGAGCAAAATGGAATTTCCGAGCGGGAGGTGGCAATTGCTGGAGGGTTTACGACCCTTTGTTCTCTAAGCATGGTAATTTGCAAATGGACTTAAATCGAAATTATTAACGATTCTCAGGGCCCTAATATATATTGCCTATGTACCACCATATAATATACACGCTTGTTTCGATCATACGAAGGCAAATTCATAGATACTAAACAAGGTAGGATTACATATAGTGAAAAGGGAGGATCAAGAATGGGTCCCCTCACAAGCATACTAAAATAGTCTAAGAATATCAAAGACAAAATACACAATGACAATAATATACTCAATGGCCTGAAGAAATATGTGTGTTCATTCAAATAACGGTTTTTCTATGAATTAACTAGAACACAGTCCATTTCTACTCTGCTTTTCCTTGGGACAAGAGTGGGCTATCCTTCTCACATTCCTGGGGGGTCATAAAACCAGTGATATCATGATTAGTTGTCATGGTGACCAGAGCGCCTGGTGTTCAGCAGACATCCTGGCATCCAGTTAATTGAGTGAGGGGACTGTGACGATTTGTTAACCTAATGAATAATTGATTTGTTAAATCAAATTAAAATTAGTGTGTCAGATTGGTCGAGACGCTACAACTGTAACTTGGTTTGGTTTTACCGAGCATCTCAGTGATAATTACTGTGTGACAAATAATATCACACCTAGGACAAGAAGATCACATTTCCTACATTTTGTTAAATCATTATAATTTTCTCCCTTTGGTCCACTTGTAATGTTAGTAAAGGTAATTTTTCAATCTCTCTGATAATTCAGATCAAACATGCTTCTTGCTGTGCCTTTAAGACTCTCGATAATTGACCTTGTCAGTTCTCATTCTGGTGTCAGAAAAAAAAAAATTAGTTTAAAAATAGTGTTGGGGAAAGTTACTTCTAAAAGTAATACATTGAAATTTTGTGTTACCTCATCTAACTGCGTTACTTAGTTAATATTTATGGAAAGTAATGCATTACGTTGCTCTAGCGTTACTTTTTATCACATGGGCTTGGCTTGCTTATTTGTTTTGTTTTTTAATAATAAAAAGCCAAAAGTTATTTTTTACAACTATAAAGGTCCATTCACAGCAAAAGAAAAAATAATAAGCCTCAGGCTGAAGGAAGTACCTCTGCACCTCACTACAAATTTCTCTCAACATGGGGACAGGAGAGGTGTCAGTGAAGAAATGGATAACTGGCGTTACACTTATTTGAAAAGTAACTGATATTTCACTGTAAATGTAAAAGTAACGTGTTACTTTACTAGTTACTTGGAAAAAAAGTAATCTGATTACATGTAACGTGTTACCCCCAACACTGTTCAAACTTGTATTACCTACTTTAGAACAAGCCATTGGTTTCACAGGATGGTATTTTTTAAAGCTACAGTAGGTTTTCACAATGCACAATGAATCCATTTACCTCAAACCAATCAAGGAAAAATTACATAATTTTATTCAATATAAACCTTCATAATCAAAGTGCATAATAAAATAGTTCACACTTACTTTTAGTGTTCATGGAAACAGCAATGGCAGTCTCCAGTCCTTTATGATGAACGAGACATTTGACAGAGACATCCTTCAGGAGTCCAGCCTGGATGGTCAAGGTGCTGATGACCAGAGTCGTCCCGTCACTCTGCTGGATAGAGGTGGTCACAGGTGGACCAATGGTCCGGTTATTCCCCTCCACGTTCCACACTATTTCAGCCTGTGGCCGGGCCACGGCAGTACAGTTAGCCTCGATCACTCCCGGAGACGTGGTCTTGTAGCTTACTTGAGGTTTGGGCAGGACTGTAAATGATACAGTATATAGGTTGTTTGGTTGTGGAACATTTTATTTAGTCAGAAAACACAGCTACACGTGAATGTCCATCAGTGGAGGCAGATGATTTGGCCAGAGTGTCAGGGTCATAACTAAGATAGACAATAATTAGAAAGGGCCCCCAGTATTTGCTCATCTTAATGCTGCTTTGTTTGCTGTAGAATGACAAAAAGTTTTAAAACTTACATTTTTAGGCTTGTCTGCCTCAGCAGCCTAAAAGTGATCATCAACATCAAAATGATTGAGACCAATCAAATCAAAAAAGGTGGGATTTACTGTTCACAGAAGTCAAGCATGAATGCTGCCCTTCAGTTGAAAGGATTGAATAAGTGTGAGATAAGACTTAAGAGGCTAAACATTTAATATTCGACAACTGTTTTATAGTAGAAATGTTAAAAGACCAACAGTAATATTCAGTCATACTCAACTTTATTGTCAAATTTGGCTGTTTTGAATTGCATGATTCATGTCATTCATAACTGAATGTGATGAGACAAGAAACATTTTGCCGTTTCATGTTTTTGACATATTAGGCATACGAATAAGAGTGAATGTGTGCATATTTTAAAATAAAAATGTTATTTGCAAAGTGATTACATTTTATGGTCCTCTTCTTTTTTCATTACTTTATTCCATTAAATCCATTTAAATCCTTTAATTATTATTTAATTCCTTTAGATACAAATTATAACTCCCCTCCCTGTCCCCCTCAGCCCCTGATGTTAAAAACATGGCCCTGACAGCATTTACCAGCAAGGGCCATTGATTGGAGCCATGCTAACCAGCCAAACATTGACCTCTTGATCCCAACACATAATCATGCATTGACTCTGAATGATATCCACTTGTGTTGGCTTGAAAAGCAAGAGTTGGCTTTGTAAATCAACAGATCTGCATGCCATCTCTGAGTGTTTGCAGCCCACATATTTTCGTCAGTAGTTCAAAGCTACAGAGATGCCCATTCAAACCACAGCATTGGCCCAAAAAAGAGGTATACACTTGGCATTCCAACAGAGGACAAGCATTTCACATTCTTACAAAACCATGACCCCTACAGAACAATTCAAGATTGCTATGAATAACAGATGAGCGAATATGATTAAACAAAATGCAGACCTAAAAAATTTTGGTTTTGGACCCCACTGACCTCCTTGTATAAACAAATCAATCAAAATATAGTGATACAGGTTTGGAATGACATGAGGCTGGGCAAATAATAACAAAATTTTCATTTTGAGGTAAACTATCCCTTTAAGTATCCGTTAGTGGCTGCATCCTAGTTTGGGCAAATGCAACAGTACAGAACAACGTGGCACGAAGTGAACATCATTCTGAGAGAGTCAAGGCAGGAGAACGAGAGCAGCACATAGAGAGAGGCACTGTGTTAGTGGAACAGTGACACAGTCATTCACTTTGGCCACAGTCTGAATAAATCATAGATCTCACAGTCTCACCCTCCTACAATCAGTTTCTTTCATATCACTCTCTCTCTCTCTGTCTGTTGTCCTCATTTTCTCCAGGCCTGTGTGTGTGTTTAGCCATGTCCTGCCCTCTCTACCACTCTGTGCTACAGCCCTACCAGCTGCATACACTGAACTGGATTTACGTTTCACTCTAGAGTCTAAAAATCAGCAATCACTATATAAAAATATCAGCAAGGTCTGTCTTGACCATTAGAGTGGGGACTGTTTTCTGGGATGGGTTTTAATGGTTTAATGATTTATTTTGATAGTCTACTTTAGACATTCTGACACATCACTTTATTTTATAGTATGTGTACTTATATGTATATACTCTGTAAGAAAGTACTGGATAATACAAGGTAACTACATGGTTTAAGGTTAGGTTTAGGGGTAGGTTCAGGGTTATTAGCCAGTTATTGTAATCAATTACTATAATAACAAGTACATAGTATGTACATGCGGAACCGACATTCTACTAACTTTAAGTAACTTTGCAACTACATGTCAACTAACTTTCATTAGCATATCAGTAGACTGTTAGGTTAGGTTTAGGGTTAGGGTTGGTAGAATAAGTTGATATATTTTTGCAAACTTAGTCGGTTAAACGTCTGTTGGGGACCATCAACATAAAGTGTTAGCCGATAATAAGCAGACAGTCTACTAATATTCTAATGACTGCTAGTCAACATGTAATCGCAAAGTTACTTATGTCTAAAGTGGACTATTGAACTAAATAGTTTTGATTCAGCATATTTTCAATTAAAAACAGCAAAATTTGGCAAAGACATTGAATAGTTTGCATCACTGGATATCAGCCAACTGTTGGTTGTTTAACATTGCTATCATAAAACCTTCATACCATTAAAACATCAGTGTCGAATTCTTCGAATTCATCGAATTCTTGTTTTATGTGTAAACAGTAAATGTTACCTTCTTTTTGTTTTTGGTTGGTTGGTTTCAATCATTCGACAAGCCACTGCCACTGAGGCAGACCAACCTAAAGATTTAACTTAAAACTTTACATCATCCTAACAACAAACAGAGTAAGCATCAGGTATATCAAATATTGGCCCTGGCCCCTGAATATCATCATCACCCAGCTTATCAAGATTTCACTGTAACTCGAGCCTCGAGGGACTTACCAAATATAGTGAGGCAGCTTATGGCGCTCTTAGTGCCGTCTGGATACGTGTGGAACTCACAGGTGTAGCAGGCCTCATCTTCAGCTCGGACCGGCCATAACGTGAGCTGCGTGTCAGACAGGGAAGGGCTCAGGCTCGCACGGTCCACAAACTCTTCTTCAATTACTGGGTCACTCTGCTTTGCAAAAGATGCAACTTCACGGGATTCTGCTTTATTCACAATCTTCTTCCATAGCACCTGCTTGACTTTCTCCGGCAGACCGTACCGACAGGCCAGAGAGGCTTGTTTACCACCCACTGCAGTCTTATTGCCCTCGGAGATCACCGATGCTGTAAATCAATGAAAATGAGTCACTACAATACTAACAGTAGCATGATAACACTTATATGTCACTTATGTAACTTATATACATAATTATAAATACATTATATACAGTGTAGTGTATTTTAAATATACATAATTTGTTACTTAATAGCATACTACTATACACTCTTTAAAAATGGGTTTTTGCAGCAAATGCCATAGAAGGACCACTTGGGTTTCCCAAAGAACCTTTCCGTGAACAGATTTGAAAAGAACCATTTTTTCCTATAGTGTGAAGAACATTTTTAATAATCTGAAGAACTTTTTGTCCAGTTGAAAGATTCCAAGGATGTTAAATATTCTTCATGGAACAATAGAAACCAATAAAGAATCTTCATTTTTAAGGGCGTATGTCACTAGACAAACTATTTTATTATCTGCATTTAACAAAAGGAGAAACAGGCTTAGGGAGTGGAGTTAAAAAGAGGTCTCAGTGAGACCAGGATGAGACAGATGAGTATTTTCACTGTCAATACATAACAATAGATGTCTAAGGAGCATCCAGAATACAATCCCCACATGATCAATTATGCATTAAAGAGAGGGAAAGACAGTAGTCTTCACCGCGGCATTCCTAGAAGTGACTGTTGAGACCAGCTGGATCTTTGCCTGACCAAGCAGCTGTTTCTTATCTACATTCACATTCTCTTCCAGAATCCAGGACGCAAGTACGCAAGTACGCAACATCCAAAACCACAACTATGCTGATGTGTTTTATTATTCCCACAGCCTTATTTTATAAGAGCCAAAAAATAGAACCTGATGATATGTGAGTTGTTATCAGTTATTATCAGTGTTTCAAAGCATATCTAAAAAAATTAAGTATTCATTAAAGTAAGACTTGTCTTTCTAATGGAACCTTGGGCATTGCGCATCTCCAAAAGTTCATGAATGGTTACTTAATTTTGCTGTTTTGTCATGTGACAAATGAATGAAAGACCAGGAATTTGGGAGGTGAACTACTAATTAATATTTTTTCATAGTTTTTCATAGTTTGACTTGGGGTGCATTATAATGATTCCATAAGTCAGAATATGATCAGAATATGAAGGTTACAAATGTTAATGTGTTTGAATATGACACATTTGAAATACATTATTTTAAATGAACTCGGCTCAAATGAACTAAGTGACATTAATAAAGATAAATGAAATGATGCTTGAACAAGATTCAAAAATCCAGTATCTGATCTTCCCATCACTAGATGGTAGTGTTGTTTTGTTCCTAAATGAATCAGTGTTTTAAAAAGTGAATGATTCAGTGTCTTATTTCGAAGGCTGCATCCTCAGGTCATATTTGTTGGCCACATATGTCTCATTTTAGAAAAGCAGCTATAATTTACATTCCAAAGCAAGAAAGAAATTACAGTAATTATACCTCAAAAGGAAAAACTGTTAATTTTATAATGATTGCCCTGAGAGTACCGTCATGGTACTCTCTTGAATGGCAGCGGAGACTGACCCAGAAGGGAAGAAATTGTTGAATAAAGTCATTATTTTTGTTTTCATAATATTACAGTTGAACCACTGATTTCATGGACCATTTTAACGATGTCCTTACTACTTTTCTGGGCCTTGAACGTGGTAGTTGCATTGCTGTCTATGCAAGGTCAGAAAGCTCTCAGATTTCATCAAAAATATCTTAATTTGTGTTCCGAAGATGAACGACGGTCTTACGTGTTTGGAACGACATGAGGGTGAGTAACTAATGACAGAACTTTCATTTTGGGGTGAACTATCCCTTTAAACTGAAACACGGATACTGATTCATTCTTGAGTGAATCAGCATTTGTAAGGAATCAGTTGTGTGACTGATTCAATGACTTACTCATGATGACTTGTCACAACCTACCGTAAACTGCAAAAGGTCTCAGTAAAAAAAATCACCACCATGTACACACGGACAGCATGGAACAAAAACGTGATATAAGCAATTTAAAATTCCCAGTGTTGCTGGAAAGCATGGATGCTCACTGTCAAATGGAAGTCTTGTAGATGCATCCTCTAAATACATGTTGTCCAAGACTGACCTGTGACAGTAAGGCAGGTTTGTCCTTCCCTTGAGCCTTTGGGATGAAGATCAAAGATGCAAGTGTAGCAGCCCTCATCCCTGTAGCTGACCCGTTTGATGGTGATGGCACTGGCATCTCTTGGTGAAGGAGCTAGGTCCACATGCTGCTGTCCGCTCACACTGTCTTTTTCACCAGGCTGGTAAGTGATTAACGTCTGGTTCTGCACATCCAGCCAGCGGATCTGATGAACCGATTCTCCTCTGGCCTTGACAAGCGTACAGCTCAGAGTGAAGGGCTGCTCAACAGGGGCCTCCACGCGTATCGGAGCTGAAACCCTGCCTGAGACACAGCAATACTGAAACCAACCGAAACGCACCACTTACACACAGAACAAGAGATTACTACAATCACACACCTTGTAGTCTGGACACCATTACCAAAGACACACAGATCTGTAGACATCTTGGCAAGGAGACCACAAACATTTTAGCCTAGTGGAAAGGAAATACAGCATTTCAGTAACTATTGCACCAAATTATAAGATATAGCTGTAAAATTCCACAAAAAAGTCCACAGTTTTATCTATCTTTAAGAAGTTTCTACCCTTTATTTTGAGAGGGCATTTAACGGTCCAGCTCAGTCTTGTGGGATGAAAATGAAGACAATGATTTCTGTCAGTTAGGGATGTTTCCAACATCTTACTGAAGGGCTGCCATCTGTGTTTACATATTACAGACATTATAGAGCACGACCCTGATCGGGCATCTACGGGGGTCTTCCCGGCGGGAAGAGCACCAATTGATGAACAGGTTCCACTTCAGCCTGTAAGCGTGTCTTGAAGACGGGGCTCTAGCTGAAGTGATGGTGTTAACTACCGCTGGAGGAAGCCCACCTAGAACCTCCGCGTCCCGTCCAGGGACCACACGTGGAAATTCCACAAGTCTGGACACGGGTGCAAGAGGGTGCCCCCTCTCTGAGAAAGGAGATGATGTGAGAGCCAATATGAGCCAGTCGTCGAGGTAGTTGAGAATGCGAATGCCAGCTTCCCTTAATGGAACAAGGGCTGCCTCCACGACCTTGGTGAAGACACGAGGCGACAGGGATAGCCCAAAGGGGAGGACCTTGCACTGATATGCTCGCCCTTCAAACGCAAAGCGAAGAAACGGCCTGTGTCGAGGGAGAATTGAGAAATGAAAGTATGCATCCTTGAGGTCGATCGCTGCGAACCAATCGAAAGGACGGACACATTGAAAGATGCATTTCTGCGTCAACATCCTGAACGGGAGCTTGTGAAGGGCCCGGTTCAACATGCTCAGGTCCAAGATTGGTCGTAACCCACCACCTTTCTTGGATATGATGAAGTATGGGCTGTAAAACCCTGACCTCATCTCAGCTGGAGGGACCGGCTGTATCGCGTCCTTCGCCAGCAGGACCGCGATCTCTGGACGCAAGACAGGAGCATCTCTGTCCAACACAGAGGTGAACCGAATGCCCCTGAACTTGGGAGGGCGCCGGGCGAATTGAATCGCATAGCCGAGTCTGATGGTTCTCACGAGCCAGCGAGATGGCCTGGGGAGTGCTAGCCAGGCCCCCAGTGACCGAACAAGTGGGACTAGGGAGACCACTGACGTACCTGCAGTGGGGCAGTGAAGTGGAACACAGGGAACCACCTCCGAAGGCAGAGCATCCCAGAGTGGGGTCTGAGTGCACGTCGCACCACTTACCTGGCTCCATGGCTGGGCAGGGGGCACGTGAGGAGGCCTGGCATCCTCGAACCGGGCCCTACTGCCCACTGGCGAAAAGAGAGGGGGACGGGAGTATGGAGACTGTGTCTCGTGCACTGCCATCCTTGCCCTCTTGGGACCCAGAGAAAAAGGAAACTGCTCTTTTTTGAGGTTCTGGGTACCACTGGCTGGGGAGCCAGTTGCGGAACAGAACAAAACAGGAACAAAGGATTCTCCACCCGGCCCTCCTCCGGGGGAAGGAGTGGTGCAGTCACCACCTCCTGAAGAGCAGGATCCAAGGACTCTGGGTCGCCCATCTCAGGGATGCCGCCTGCCCTGGCGCTTCACGGGCTGGGCATGGGCGGAGGCGGACTGCGCCTCTTTCCTGCGGCCAGATCCACGATGCGGCCATTGTGAAGGCTGCTGCTGTGGCCGAGCTGGAGCGGAGGTGGAGGC